ACTCGATAAGATATCGTCCGCGCTTTGATATATTGGCAGTTATGTTAATTGAAACCTGTTTCAATATTGAAAAGTATACTATTGCGGGGATGCCAACTTTATTCGTATATTTACACCGTAGCTCACGACTGCTTATTTTCCAGAATGCTCTGGATGGATTTTTTTCTTCTTCCTTCTTTATTATTTTCTCACCTATGGAGTTTTCGAATCCCAATCCTCGTCGCCACTTCGTTTCGTTAAAACGAACTGTCTTTCTTATATATTTGAAACTGTGACTCTAAGATTACGTTTGATAATGCTCATCTGCGTCAATATTCAGTGACATTAATAACTGATTACGTAGCTTCGTAAATTATACTTTTATTTTAGATTGTAAATACTTTTTGAGAAGTGTTGCAATTAACATACGTGTAATTTACATATGAATAATAATGAGGAAAATGACGATTAGCACCTGTTAAAAGCTCATTAAGTATATTCGAGAATTATGCGTTCGTAAAGTCAAGTCGGAAATATAAAATAGCTTACACACACGTATATTGTAACTATATACATATAGCTGCGTCTGAGTGTGCGCACATATACATATTTATAATAAGTGAAGTAGCTCCAATGATTTATTAAGATACCTAGTATTTCATATGATTTATAACGATTAGAATCAAGTCGAGGTCAACATTTCTGTACTTTAAAGCCCATTAGACTTAGATTACAAATAGAGTTTCATTTCCTATTATAAATATGAAAAATGCCTGATTCATCGTATTTTTGCTAAGCATCTGCTGATGGTCCCGAGTCATAACTTAGACATAAGTGCTTGCATTTTACAATCGACCAAATGTTTAGAAAACCCAACAAAATGAAGAGAGCCGTTTAAACGTTCTGACATGAGGTAACGGAATAATTGATATCGATCATAATAAATTGAATAAGTTGATTGAAACGATCATTTCGCCACCTCCACCTCGTCCTTCCGAACCACATGAATTTACGAAGATTATTGTACGATTGCACTTTGATTAGATTTAATTATGCTCTCATGGAGCAGATGCAATATTTAGAAATGGCAAAGCACAAAAGGCGCTGGCTTTCACCCACAACTAAATATTCGGTCGTGAGTTAGTATCAACGGTCAAGGCACTGCGGCCTTTCAACTCGAAACGGCCGCGTAAATGCCGCGTACCCAGGGGGATTCGAGATTCCTCGACGCAATATGAGAGGCACGTGGGGAGCGGCCATAAGCGCCCTTTCAGCACGCGAAAAATGTCCCCGCGGTGCTCGGGTAATAAGACGTCCTATCTACCCACTTCCCCCTAACCAATCCTCCTCCCCTTCCATCAACCACCTCCCTCCACCTCCTACCTCACTCCACCTCCCACTTCTCTCCCCCTCCTCCTCATCCTCATTCTCATTCTCATCCTCATTCTCTGCCGAACCAACTGACCAACCAAGCTTCCGACTACGTTCAGAGCTTGGTCCAGCCATTGCAGATTCATCAGCCGAGGTCGGTAAGCCCAACGCCATGGCCATCATCGACAGCTAATAACATTGGGCTGGCATTAAAGCCCACGGGCTTCCCATTAACGTCCGGCCGTCTTGCCGTCCGAGGTGTTAAGTCCGGCCTTAAGACGGCCAACAAAGGATTTACTGTGCCGCTCGTTGCCGCCGTCGCCGGCACCGCGACCGCCACCACCATCACCACCGCCACCGCCAACGCCACCGCTGCCGCTACCACCGCCGCTACCAACGCCGCTACCGCCGCCCCATTCGCCCAGCGCGTTATTACGTATTAATGCCTAAACTTGCGTCTAATGCGACGCTTGACCGTCGTCCAGCCATGACCTCTTCCGACCCCCTAATCCCTGGGCTCTCGGGTTTAGTTTTCATTAGAGCTCGGGGTGTCTTTGTGCCGGAGGACTCGGCTCGCGAGGGACCAATTTAATCGCGTCCACGGATAATTTGTAAGCAGCGTCTTTCACACACACACACGGCACCCCATACCTCAGTAGCCCAACATTATCGTCTCGTTTCTACGTTTTTAATCTTCGATTTACCTTGATTACGGAATTTACGGAAAATGTCGATGCACGTAATTGGCCTTGCGCGCCCTCGTATGCACCTAAGCACGATTATTGATTCGTTATAGTCGTTTGACTATTTAAGCACATGTATGGTTTTTGCGCCGTGTGCCCTTTATTGGGAGTCGCGTTTCCCATGGCTGCTTAAACAGCTTGGGCACATCATTATTGGAATTTTATTCTAATCATTACCTTAGCCCGTAGCTTTGGCTGCTGTATCAGTTAATAATACATGCAATTATCACTTTAATTATGTATTCGGAACATTGCTCTGAAAATTTTGCGGTGAAGTTGTTAAATAGTAACCGTAACTGCCCGAATTATTAAATAGGGAATGTATCCGGCTAAAGTTATTATCTCGATAAACGTGTACTGTCGATTTTAACAATGTCGCTCAAACACATTTAAAAATTAAGTTTTTTTTGTTCTTAGCGTTAAACTTGAATAATAATAAAATCATCATACACACGCGCGCGCGCGCGCACACACATTGCAAGCTGACTACGAAATAATCATACGGCCGTGTCTGGACGTAAAATCGTACCAACGGCTGCCTTATCCGAGTAATTATGGCCTTAATATTGTAGGTAATAGGTAATATTGAGACGCGTGGACTTGTAAGCAGCAAAGTTGGAAATGATGGAGGGAGTCAATGGGTTTTTATTTGACCAATTGTCGTCAACCAACTGCGACTGCCTCGCGAAAGTGTACAAAGTGTCGCGCGGATGTTTGTGAGCGAGATCTGGTTTCTCCGAGGAGGTACTCGACTTGGATTAACGCTTATTTGGCCTCGAGGTCGGCCTTCGACGCGACCCGAATGCCGCGAATTCGGCCGACGTAAATCATCGAATACCTTCACAACCGCACGCGCGATCTTCCATCTCCCTCGAGGAAGTTTCGGCAGCTCTCACGCGTGGCTGGACGGGGCGTACACGGATGGTTGACGGTTGGCGGAGGAGAGCGAACGGGGTGGATGGTAGTTGAAGGGTAGCGAGACAGAGAGAGAGAGAGAGAGAGAGAGAGAGAGAGAGAGAGAGAGAGAGACTTGGAGTAAGGAGGTGGTTGCGCATCGTGGGATTACAGTCAGGAGTGGGATATAGAAGGCGAGCGGAGGACTTAAGTCAGGGTTAAACGAGGATCGTTGCCATTGTGTCGCGAAATGCCGAGGCCCATTGTCTCGCGGGGATAGACGAGTGGATCTGCATATGCTTAACGTGCTGGGGTTATACTTGTCTCGCCGCCCTCTGCCATCTCCATCGACCCGATCCTTTCAATTGCGCCAGCCCAGGAAATTCACGTGGATTCCATTAGGTCGCCAAGATGCTTTCATTTATTATCCATTGGCCTCGTCGACTTGGCCGCCAAACAACCGAGCCTTGTCGGCGCAGTGGTAACTCCAATACGACTCTAGGGTCTTTATTGACTTTTTAAGAAGCATTAACGTCTTCCCGATGCATTCGTCGGATGTTGGCGGATTTGGCCGGTTACGTGCTTGGGAATTCTAAAGGTGAACCGCATTTGTCGCGCACTTAAAAGCCGTAAAGGGAGAAGATCGGTAAAGTCGCTTCGCGAGTCGCGCTTTTAAATGTCATTTGTTATTTGAGTTTCGTATGCCCCGAGACTGGGGAGTGGATTGAACTTATTCGTAAATCGTCGTCTCTCCTTATGATTACAGGTAAGAGTCTTCCAGTCCATTGCGTCGTCGAGGCGATTCACAGCATCGTGGAGACGCGATCGAGCAGCGCCCGAGAAAACTGGCGGCGACCGCACATAGAAATGGACACTTACGTCTTCATCCCGGCAAATATGCCCTTTCAGGTACGATTATCCGGCCGATTTTACCCGCGAATTTATTGACGAATAAATTTTTACAAAGGACTACAAAATTTCCTGCATTATCCGACATTGTCATGTTTGTTAGATTGTAATTGTGAAGTATCGCGAGTTGGCGATGCAGATTTGGCCTGACCATTGCGCAATAGTAATATTCCGTAGCGCCGCCATCGGCTCCATGTAAAATAGACTTTTTAGCATTGCGTCATGTTAAAGTCCACCTGTGTGTAAATCAATCCGTAGGATCTGGTTGGCGAGGCTCTGATGCGCCTGAGCTACTCGAACGACCTGATTTTGAGCGCGCGGGGCTGCATCGTGATCAGAAACTGGAAGCCTCTGCCGACGGATAAGGTCGCGGACGGGCCGCTGCTCACCGTCGGCGACATACTCGCTGAGCTCATCAATCTCGCGACCCTCAAGATCCAGGTGTACAGGTCGAGGCCACCACCGCCCACGCCCGCCGCCGAGGTCCGCGACAAATTGCTGAGGCTACTACTGCTGCGCAGCCACGCGGTTCTCATCGCAGCTGGATGTCCCCTCGACGAGGTACGTTCGCACCTGAGGTTGGCCGGCCCAAACTGGAAACTCGGGGGAACGCTTGGACTCTTTTAAATTGACGCTCCAATGGGAAATTACTGTCTGCGTGACGGAGATTCGATCGATCCTCAACTATTATAGTATTAAAAAATAAGGTTATTCGCGTCTACCCCCGGTGTCCCGTAATTAATCATTGGATTAACTCATCATCGAGCATCCGATATTTTCCAATCGGTCATGCTTCTTTAATGAGAAATTCTCGTAAAACACTGCGACATATGCAAAAACAGTTGCACAATGTTGCTTTAGAATTCAAATACTCCATAATAATAATAATTAGATATTATAGGAGAAAAGAGTGATTATTAATAACTACATATTAGCAGAGGATTGGGATTATAATTTTCCAAGATATATACATTCAAATTATCGTCAATATTATTTTCAATTTATTTTAATTAAGAGAGAGAGAGAGAGAGAGAGAGAGAGAGAGAAAGTTCAAACTTGAATGGTATTTAATATTTTTAGCATCATTTTTTGTTGAAATAGATCACAAACTGACAAATATTTAAAAATTTGGAACTTTACAGTCAGTTTTATGGAAGGAAATATTACGTTTGAGCCAAATAGTCAATCGTACACGTAATCAATGTTAATAAGACATTAATAATCGGCAACGTTATAGCAATGTTCGTAAATTCATAAAAATTATTGACGTCCAAATAATTTGCGCCCCATAATTGTCGCGCACAACTCAGACAAATAGTTGAAAAAAAATACATAACGAAGCTTCTCTACCGTTCGGTGTTGCTCCAACCAAATGAGACTCGCCGCAGAAAAGACGTGCTAATACAATATGGATCACTTCCAAAAACACGAGCTCTAATCTCAAAAAATACAACGTCACCACTTGCCCAAGATAGAGTAGGATGGATCCTCGGGAACAGAAGCCAAGCGGCGACGGCTTATATAAGTCGACCACTTAAAAATTTATAAAATGTAAATCTAGCCAAAGAGTGTTTGTCGCCGAAGCTCCTAATCTCATTAAGAAGTCCTCCGGCTCCATCTACTCTCTAGGCTCTAGGCTTGCTCTTACAATCTTCTACCCTCCCGCCCACCCACGCCGCTCTCGTTCTCACTCACTCACTCACTCACTCACTCACTCACTCACTCACTCCCCCCCCCCGCCATTGTTCTTGCTTTCTCATTCCCTGTCTATCTCTTTGCATGATACTGAAGCCGCGACTCGTTGCCTAATCTTCGCCGGAAACGGAAACTCGTGCGCTCATTCGCGGTTTCCTGATCCCTGCCTTAAATATTTGTAAATGCCGCCTCGCTCGCGCTCTTTCATTCCACGCGTTAATTTGCGCGTGTATCGCCATATGACGACGACATTTGTCATTTTCGCGACGATAATGAGCCGGGGCGGCGCTTTTATCAACGCTTTAATTTTACAATCGATTGGCCATTGTCCTTTGGCCTAAGTAAGCACAACAGCTCATCACCGGCATTTTTTATACGCCAGATACTCGTATTTGCTGCACGAATGCAAATACAAAGATAGGAAAATTTAGTGGAAAGATCGGCTTTCAAAATTCTCATTCTATAATTATAAAAGACTTACATAAAAAGCAAATCTTGATTCAACTTGTAAGATTGACTCGAGAGATAAGGCACTCGTTGGATTTAAATATCATGGAAAATAATAATTTCTTGTTTATTACAAGCGCGATTTATATAAAAATTCTAAACTATTTACGTTTGGTCGGGCATTATAAATGGCAGCTCATATAATTAAGTAAGTTATTAATAGAATTGTAACGATTGCTTCGAAGACGATATCGATCATTATGTTGAAACTTATCGAAACTAACTCTTCATAATATTTTGTCAATCATATTTTAAGAGCCTTGAGGTACGGGCGCGTCATAAATACAAATGACACAAATATCCGAATCATGATAATGACGATGTCAGTATGAAATGTAACGATTTTCGCCTTTAACGAATATTATATCGTAATCAAGTAAGCCCCATTACCAAATATTTTCATTAGAAACAAAAATCTAACCTTCTCCCCCTACCCCAATAAATGGGCTCCCCCCCCCTACCCTACACACACACACACACACACACACACACACACACGCACACACACACACACACACACACACCGCCACCCTCGTCACTAGCTGCCCTCCCTCTCCCCAAGCGCGTATAAGAAATTATCGATTTTCCAAGCTGGCGTTAAACGAGTAAACCACGATCCGAGGAGACGTCGAGGCCACGAACGACGTCTGGGTTACGGGAGAAGCTCTCGAGTTATCGGCAGCTAGTCGCGTCTCGTCGAACCTCGGAATCCTAAGAGTCGAGAGATGCCCGGGCAAGACGTCAGCGTCGCGGGAACGTTAATGCAAGCGAACGAAAGGGCGGCGCAAAAGATGAAGGGAGAACGAAAGATCTCGTAGCCGAGTAGGAGCAGCCCATGATGGGATTACCCTTTACTCAACCAAATTCGCAACCTTCATCAAAAGCTACTCCCGCGACGATATCAGCTGGCTCGGAGTCGGTACCACCCCACGGGCATTATCTAAGTGCACTCTCTTTGAAGATCCACGTCGAACTTTAATGCCGCTCGCTGTTAGCCTATGATTACCAATTATTTTCTCCGGGCCTCTCTCACTCTACACCTCGAGCTACTTGCGCCGCGCGACCTGGCCAGTCCTCAGTGGTCGGGAACTTCGGCTTCAGGGGGCTCCAACTATCTCCAGGCATTCGGCAATGACATTTTTTTTTTTTTTTTTATTTTATTTTTTTACCCACTATTGAGAATTGGACAGCGATGGTCTGCTGCAAAGCGAACCCTATCGATCTCTCATCCCGCCGGAGTCGAACATATTAATTCTGGAAGCACGCGCAACGTCCGCAGACAGAAACGCGTCGAAGAAATGCGCGACCTCGAGTCATCAGCATAGAACGAGCCAAGCATAAAGTGACAATTACACTCGGCTTAGACGATTTTATAACTTTTCAGAACAAATGCCCGACTACATTGCTCGGCTATAAAACTATGGGTATGCATTTATTTAAGTGCCTAGTTAACAAACAAAAAGCCGTGACTTATTATTTATTAGTGGGAGCAAAAGCCACACGGGTAAAATATCGTAAAAATCTAAGCTCGAGCGAGGTTAAAGAATCGTTGCCAGGTCGCGTCGAGCTAATCATCATCTTCTGTCCTCCGAGCATTACCAAAATACATAGAGAACGCGGTAATGACAATAAAAACAAAATAAAGAAATGAAAGGGGGCAGCGTCGTGCCGTAACGGTTTCGCCCATAAACAAAAGCCATAGGTCGCGTCCATTCCCATCGTCATCGAGACGAAATAAGACAAACACATCGAGCGCCAGCAATGTCCCCGTCATAATTACAAAAGAGCGTCAAGTTTTTTTCCTCCGTGATCATGCAGCCGAGACTTGTCCCGCGCAGTATCCGATTGATTTATGGTAATAAAGCACATAAATACCTGTAAATCAGGTTTTAGGCGACACGCGCACGAGATAAGCCACAAACAACGCCACTGCCTCTGCGTCGTCCACCCCCTCTTCCTCTGTGCTCCCTGCCCCTACCTACGCTCAGTCCATCACAGACGGGACTCGCTAACTCTCTCTCTCTCTCTCTCTCTCTCTCTCTCTCTCTCTCTCTCTATCTCTCTCTATCTATCTATCTATCTATCTATCTATCTATCTATCTATCTATCTATCTATCTATCTATCTATCTATCTATCTATCTATCTATCTATCTATCTATCTATCTATCTATCTATCTATCTATCTATCTATCTATCTATCTATCTATCTATCTATCTATCTATCTATCTATCTATCTATCTATCTATCTATCTATCTATCTATCTATCTATCTATCTATCTATCTCTTTCTCATCTGCTTTATAAAGCTGTTGTTTGCCCAATGATTTTACGGGAGCGCTCGTGCATCTCGGTATTCCAAATACTGATGTCACGCTCGCGGACAGTCGCCGCGCGTAACCCGACGGACGGACGATTAAGCGTCGACCCGTAAAAGTACCACGGGACCACGGAGCGGGGAGGGAGAGAGGTGCTACCGCTCGATCCACAGATTACCTCGTTAAATGCCGTCGCGTCTGATCCCTCGTCGCCGTCTACGACTCGCTGTTTGTTCTTGTAAATCAACGGGTGATAAGGCACGCGCTCAGCCTTGCTCTTGTTCTGGGTCTTGTTCTCCTTCTGTTCCCCCTCCATACAAACTCTTTCTCACCCCGCCCCCCTCCTCTCTCTCTCTCTCTCTCTCTCTCTCTCTCTCTCTACCTCTCACTCTCCTCGTCGCTGTCATGCAACAACACCGACATCGGCTTCCTCCTTTGCTTGGGTGTCAGCCGTTTTTGAGTTAGTCCCATAGGTGAGAAAGGGCTGCCCGTGAAAGGGTCGTGAAACGATGCTTCATTTGCAGAGAATTTCGCGATTATATCGTATTACAGATAAGACGATCGAGCGATACTGTTTTCTCAGAGTCGTACCTTTACGACCTGATAAGTGCGGATTAAAAATTAAATTTTCTTTTGTTTTTTTGCTTTGGCAAAGTCTAAGTGCGTAAACAATTGTGCTTTACGATGCCTCGTAAATCATAGCTTTTGTGCGAAAACAGAATTGAATTGGTTTCTTTAATCATAGTGTGACAATGAGAATGTAATAAGAATAGCCTACATAGCCGAATAAAACATTTGTTTGCCCATCAACGGCCCATAAGTACGTAGATAAGCGAGCTTGATGAATTTTAGCGCAACTCGCTCGTCGCCCAAGATTAACGATCTACGTACAAAATTTTAATCTCACACAAGTCTGACATCGCCGCAAGTCTGGGGAAAGTTTCGCGCGCACTTTATTGTCGAGAATTTTTGTAAAAAGTTTTTATCTGAATTGCCGACTAAAAATATCATGCAACTGTAATCTTCTATAATCTTGTTTCTACCTAATTCCATGCAAATATTTAAACTCTAATCTTGAAAATTCTTTCGAAATTCGCTTCTGTCTAATAAAATTTTGTAATTAGTTAGACGATTCAGCTAGAGTATTTAAGGCCGAATAATAACTGTCGATTAAAAATATAAAAAAAATTATCTTCTAATCTATATCAACAATTACGATGGTATATTTATTTCCTAAATTACTGTTGCTTTCCTTATTACGGGCCTATTTTAAACTTTAGATTAAAAAAATGTTTTCACACGCCAAGAATACTATGTACTTTTAATTCCCATCTTTTATCACTGTTTTCACAGACTGCTGTCGTGATTACATTATTCTAAAAATGTTTGATTTCTCAATTTTAATGGTTAAACTAGCTTAACTACATAATCCCCGCGAATTCATTTAACTAGCGATTAGCCGTAAACGTTCTTAACTTACTATTTTCATATTATGCCATTAGTTTCCTATGCTTTAAATAACAATTACACGTAATTGCATACGATTAAAGTAGAAAATTTCATTAAAGAAATTGAATAGTTGCGATTGTATCGTGAAGCAGCGACGCTCAAGATATTTTAGAAATTATCGTATTTATCTAGATTATGAGCAGTCGATGAAGTAGCAAATTTCTTACTTTAATTCCTAATATTCTTAAATTACCAAACAATGTCTACGGACAATCGACAGTTTTATTGTTCGGTTTGTTGTTTATTTGTTTATTTGTTTATTTGTTTTGTTTTTGTTATGTTTTTAATTAAAAAATCGAGAGCTTTCACGTGGCTTTTTCTAGGCTTGTACTCATGCTCTGCACTTATCGAAACTCACCTATCGAAAAAGCTACTAAAATTAATCTTATTAATGTCTCAATGTCGTGATGGTGTAACTGCCGTCAATCATAACACCCAACGGCGTGGAACTTTTCGCCTTTCGCAAAATACTGTAAAAATCCGTTAGCTACGGACTAATTAGACATTGTCCAAACGATCGTGGCCATAAAAAATTCCACCGGCAAGTGCTATAAAAGAGCCAAATTGATAAAAGAAGTAGCAGCCACCACTTATGCAACTGGGTATAATAAAATTCCTTGCCTCTTAATTGCCTCGATTCTTCATGAATTACAACTAATTTAAATGATACGGGACGCTTTATAGTCGACGGGATAATAAAACGGCCCGACCGCGTCTCTTAATATTTCCACCAAATTCAATTGGCGATAAAACGCGTCTGGGAGAACATACGACCAACCCAATGCCGCAACCCTCAAATGTCGAAATGAAAAATCGTTAAAAAGCTCGGTCGGGCCGACGAACCGTCGAAAAACCCGTGGAACCGCAGTATTGATTCGTGATCCCCGAAGTGCCAAGAAGAAAACCGATCCACCGGCAATGATCCACCGTCCGTCTGCCAACAGCCGACTCTCTCCTCACTCTGTCGCGGCGGCAACGACCTCACCGAGGAGACCCAACGCAACTTCGAGTCCTGGCTGCAGCAGCAGCACCTCGGCCTCGGCCTCAATCCTCTGCTGCAGCCGAGCGCTAACCACCACCATCACCACCATCACCACCAGCATCGAAGCCAGTCGCCCCAGGCGTCGGAGGCGAGCTCGCTCCCGGGAGGCGTCTCTACCTCAGCCCTCGGCCACCACCACCCAGGCCACCATCCGGGGCTGCTGCCCTTCTCGCACAAGTCGCGCATGCGCACGAGCTTCGATCCGGAGCTCGAGCTGCCGCGGCTCCAGCGCTGGTTCGGCGAGAATCAGCATCCAACGCGCCAGCAGATCCAGCACTACGTAAACGAGCTAAACGGCCTCGAGTCGAGGCGCGACCGCAAGCCCCTGCACGTCAACAACGTCGTCTACTGGTTCAAGAACGCGAGGGCCGCCCAGAAGAGGGCCGAGACCAGGGGCGTCAACGGCTACAGTCCCCCGGGTCTCAGTCCACGGGGCGCCAGTAACGTCAGCGAGGACTGCAGCGACGAGGAGGACGACTCCAGGCTCCAGGTCAGTACTCCATTAGCGGCCGGTGTCACTCGCGCCCGACTCCATCTCCTTCGCGACTCTTCCTCGTCCCGTCCATTACTATCTTACCTGACCCCACTAGCCCCTTTCTTCATTCCTTCGTAGCTCTTCCATGGCTTCCAATGGCTTTCAGCAGCGCCTCGTGCGCCCACGTTCCATTTAACCTCTTATCCTTCAGGTTTTATTACAAGGCGCTCGACCCGCCTGAATTCCGATAAATTTACTTGGGCAAAAGGAATGCGGCGAAGATGTCGATTTGCACATGGACACTCGACGATTAAATCCATGAATAATAAATGGCGAGTCCTCGGTGAAGTGGTCTTGCTTGAGATAAGACGCAAAACTAGTTAGAATCTGCTTAGGAAATCCTCCGTTTAAAGTTTCTCTAATATTATGAAATGTTCGATCCTGATTCGACCTTAATAGATAAAGATATTCTAATTAGATTTAGCATAATGGTTAATGTAATTTTACGTCAAGGGTACAGTTTAATGCAGGATTATTCGACATGTTTAATAAAAATTACGTGGGTAGAAAGTAGTGTAAAGGATGAAGGAATTCATTGAATATTGGATTTTTACCGATGCTCCATCAAGCCACGACAAGATTAAAAACTCTTTTAATAAAATGTAATCGTTAGAATGATTGTACGAGCAACTCGTGGTCGTCGAATCTCTCTCACTCTCTCTCTCTGTCTCTCTCTACCGAGCCCCCTAACTAAAAATAGCCCAACCAATGTTTCTAATCGCATTTCTAAGCAAATACAATCCATCCAAATAATACATTCTCCCTACCTTCTACAATTCGATCATTTAATTTTTAACGAACAAGCCCATAAACCTAACGGCTCGTCTTTTGTTTTAATTTTTATATAAAATAAAGGCACCGAAGGTTCGAGTGAGCTCGCAAACCATACGATATTCTATCAATATAATGCATATTTTAATGCACTAAATTATTCTTCATAAAGTCGGCTATTAGTACTAGAGGGTAATGTCTATCGGATCTTCTCTAAATGCATATTTTATGTAATTTCACTTTGTCTCTTAGTTTAATACATATAATGCATAGATATAATATACAATATACAATATACAATACAGTACATTTGGGTTGTAATAAATGACATGTGAATTTTTTGATAAATCTCGTCGACAGTTTCTCCTTAATAATGCGCATGCGTGTATGCACGAAGAGGATTGAGAATAAAATATCGAAACCTATTTTCTGCGCACCGTTTATGAAAGTATTTCACAATCTATCATTAATTTCTTATTTCTAGGGAGAAAAATTAACAATTAGCTGCATTTAACTCGCCACAAACTGACGTTTCTTATTTCTTTAACAAACAAAGAAGACAAACGTCCTCCAAGTTATATACATCTGTCAGTAAATCAATTCATCATTAAATACGAAAATTGTTTGAAGTATTCTCACTCACAGTCCTTGACTGCCGTAAACACACCCAACGATAATGCCGTCACTAACAATCACCAACTTAGACAGATTATTATTATAATCATAATTAAATCCGATTTAAAGATAACATACTTCCAAAAATGGTCACAAGGATGCACGATATCGGAATATCTGAGAAACGGATAAGCGCAGTATTTTAAGCACACATTTCGAAATTCTTGATAAATTAGCCAGTCTCCTAGCCATATAGGGATCGCTTTAAATCTTAAAGAGCAATTAAAATCACAAAAAGCGTTTAAAAGACAGTGGCAAACAAGCTTATATATACACTTTGAACGATCTGAGTTAAGCGCGCTTATTTCTTTAAAGTAAACATTTGCATTGAGAGAAAAATATACGAGCGCGTTAAGCATGTTCTTTATTTTCCATGTCGGCTGTAAAGTCTCTGGGCTGCGTCGATCTACGGTCGGACCAGCTCGAGCATTTCCAAAATCTCCAAAATCACCACACGGCTATTCAGCCAGCCCGATTAATTTGAATGAGCCATCGATAAGCGACGACCAACGCTCGTAACAAATAGCACGGAAGCTGTGCGATCCAAATCTCGAGGCAAACTCGACTGCCGCCGAGAGACGCCTCCATCGAATCCCTCTCGCATCGCTCAGCATCCCCATTCCGATAACGAGAGTTAGCCGGTACTTGGCTTCCCACCTCCCCACCTACCCACCTCCCCACCGCCCAATCTACCCCTCACGTAACACCGCGCTACACCGCATCACACGCACACACCAAGTATATAGAGGAGTGTCGACTCAAAAGTGAAACCTACTTGCAGTCGACGTCGCCGTCGCCGTGTCCGGCTGCTAGTCCACCGATCGGTCCGCTCTCACTGACGACTCGTCCGGAGGATCAACAGCAGCAGCAACAGCAGCAGCAGCAGCAGCAGCAGCAGCAACAGCAGCAACAGCAACAGCAACAACAGCAGCAACAGCAGCAACAGCAACAACAGCATCAGCAGCAACAGCCGCCGTCGTCGGGTTCGTTGAAGCAGGAGGAGCTAGGCCGCGCCGTGTCCTCGGGCTCGGACGACGACGAGACGAGCCCGACGGGGCCACTGCCCGGCTTCTCCCTCGTACCCAGCCCCATGTTCAGTCACAGCGTCATGTACATGTCGCACTACCTGTCGCCCCGCGGGCCCGCCGGCTGTCCCACCAGTATGCTCGACGAAAGGAGAAAGCGCAACAGGACCTTCATCGACCCGGTCACCGAGGTGCCCAGGCTCGAGACCTGGTTCACGCATAACACCCATCCCAGCCACGCGGTACGCTCTTTTACTCGTATAAGCTATATGCCCAGGATCTAGAGCCTAGTTCCCACGAGATCGACCACCATATTCTCCACCCCATCCCGCCGAGATCCCTTTGCACCGACAACTGGCGTAGCGAGCCGCTTGGGTGATATCCGGTGGGTGGGTGGCGGGTGGGTCGTACGACAAATTCGCCCGTTACGTAACTTTGCTGACGCTCACCTCCCCACCTATGGCTTTGCTTGCAGCTCATCCTGAAGTACACGGAGGAGCTGAATCGTATGCCCTACCGGCAGAAGTTCCCCCGGCTCGAGCCCAAGAACGTGCAGTTCTGGTTCAAGAACCGCAGGGCCAAGTGCAAGCGCCTCAAGATGGCCCTCTTCGACGGGGAGTCGCCCCAGGCCCATCCGTATCACGCGGAGTAGCGGCCACGGCGGCGTCGGAGCCCACGCGGGGCTCCTCGGTTCCCGACCCTCCGCACGGGCTCGACGAACGAAATACTCAATTGCGCGTAGAGTTGGCGGGCGGACGCGCACCGAGCGCTCGGCCTCGGCCGCCCAGCCATTGCCCAGGAAAGGTATATAACCTTCGTTGTAACTACGAGGATTAATTCGTACACAACTAATATTATTGTCACATTATATGTAAATAACGATAATCGTTAAAAATTATCACTAATCATTCTTACTATCATTAATTAATTATTAATTACCATTACTATTACTATTACTATTACCATTGATTATCGATTATTATCGATTATTATCGTCAATTATTATTATTATTATTATTGATTATTATTATTATTATTATTGATAATTATTATTATTATTGATTATTATTATTGATTATTATTATTGATTATTATTGATTATTAATGATTACTATTGATTATTATTGATTATTATTGATTATTATTGATTATTATTGATTATTATTGATTATTATTGATTATTATTGATTATTATTGATTATTATTGATTATTATTGATTATTATTGATTATTATTGATTATTATTGATTATTATTGATTATTATTGATTATTATTGATTATTATTGATTATTATTGATTATTATTGATTATTATTGATTATTATTGATTATTATTGATTATTATTGATTATTATTGATTATTATTGATTATTATTGATTATTATTGATTATTATTGATTATTATTGATTATTATTGATTATTATTGATTATTATTGATTATTATTGATTATTATTGATTATTATTGATTATTTATTATTGATTATTATTATTGATTATTATTATTGATTATTATTGATTATTAATGATTACTATTGATTATTATTGATTATTATTGATTATTATTGATTATTATTGATTATTATTGATTATTATTGATTATTGATTATTGATTATTGATTATTATTATTGGTTAACGAATTAATCGATTAATTAATTGATCGATCAGTCAATTGATTAACTGTCGTTATTATCATTATTAATTATCAAATATTATTAATTATTGATTATTATTAATTATTATCATGATGATCTCGAATAAAGTATAAACCATGCTTACTTCGTTCAATGTCTCGTTTCTCATTTCAACCGACCCAGCGCTTTGCGCAATAATGCCGACGTTCTCTCACCTCGCACCGGAAATTCATGGACAAAGGTGAGTTTTCAGCGATCGCCGCCGATTAACCGAGGCCAACCGCTTTCCACGTTTCACCGCATTAACGCCGAATTAATGCAAAGTCGAGCCCCCCCCCCCCCCCCCCCCCGTCCACTCCCTTGTCCGTTAGACGCCCGCCCGGTCGCCCGTCCACGCTCGCCTACTCAATGCATTAGCAATAGGCCTGGCCAACGACCAAACACCTTTGCACGATTGGAAAATAGGCGAGTTTGAGGATCCGAGCCGACTGACCGAACCTCCTTGATAAATGAGCCGCGCTCCGGGAGCCTAGCTGGCTGTCTCACTCCTCGGGAGATAAAGTCAGCGCGGACACAATGGGTGCCAGATAAGGCGGAGGTGTCGGCGACAGCTGTCATCGCTGGGCCGACAATAGTCGCGCCCCGATCTATAGCGAAGCGGAAAATCGAAGAGCCGCCAGTCGTGAAAGCCGGAACATTAGATCGAGCCGAGCAATTGTTCCTCGCCTCGTCACCGTCTCTTTGTCGCGACTGCCCTCCCGTTCCTACCGAATCTTCTTCCGATTCATAGTCGTCGTTACCGACGCTTCGGACCACGGGCACCGACGACTCCGCTACCGCCTCCCAGGATTATTATTAGCCTTAGACGTCGCTCGTTATAATGGCCGTGGAATTTTATTTCGACACCTCGACGACCACATCTTCGCCCTTGTGCATCTTCCATTAGCTCGTCTCGAAAGTACGCGCCGTTAGGTCGTCCTCTGGCTGCCATTACAATGGGAGAGACGAATGGCATTGAATCGTTATCGATACAACAGAGATTGAGAACTTGAATGGCTGTTTCTCCAACTTCCCCGTTGCCAATGCTCGCGCGCGATCTAAACATAAACGCGAGTGAAATAACCAAGCACTGATAGTGCATTGAAGTATCATTGTGTACGTAAATGGCATATATATATATATATATATATATGTGGCGCGGCAGGAGGCCACGGCATTGATATTGGAATTGACCGTCGATGCGGCGCTTACAGCTACTCGACGCGTGCGCGTGAATAACTGAATTATTAATAATACCTAATTACGTCAATGCGGTGAAAATATCCAATTATAAGAAAGTTGAAGAGGAGCGGCTGCCAGTGAAAAATAGTCTCCTGGAGATTTCATAAAGGTCTAAGATTTGCGTAAGGACTGATCCGTGAAAGGGATTCGTGCTGCGGAATAAGCCTAGAACGCGCGCATCTGTATTGGTATATAGATTAGTTTTGCTCTTAAAGTAGCGCCCACCACTGTACTTCCTTGTTTCGCGATCTCTCGGCGGGATAATAAAGCAAAAATATATATCCATAAGAACGTCTCCAAGGGCAAAGGGGCGAACAAAAAGCAGGCAGATAAAAGAGCGCGAAGGGAGGGAGCCGTGTCGGCCGGCTAGTGAAGACGCGATGGTGGATAGCGGTAGAGTAGTGGGGCGTGAGAGGGGTTGGTAGAGAGAGAGAGAGAGAGAGAGAGAGAGAGAGAGAGAGCGAG